TATAAATTTCCTTCTAAGTATTGCTCTTGCTGAGTCTCGCAAAATTTGACAAGCTGTATTTATTTAGTTCAAAATAGTTTAAAATTTATCTTGAGACTTCTTTGACCTGTGCATTAATTATAAGTATGTTGTTGAGACTTCTTTGACCTGTGCATTAATTATAAGTGTGTTGTTTAAAATTCAAAGATTTTCATATTTTCCAGCTGTTTTCCTGTTACTGATTTCTAGTATAATCCCATTGTGGTCTTAGAGTATACTATATGGTTATGTATTATATGCCTAGAAAAATGAGTTTGGATTTTGGCACATATATATGCATATGTATGTATGAGAACTATATCATGTATTTGTATATACAGATACACCTATATATATGTGTTCATATATATTTGTTGTACTGTGATACTTGCATGTTGCCACAATGCTAGAAGCTATGCCCACTGGTATTTCAAGTACCATCAGGGTCACACCTTAAAACAGGTTCCTCTGCATGCACCTTTCCATCACCTGTTGTCATTTATGCCACTGATCCATAGCTATCATTCTTAACTGCCATGTCACTATTTTTATTTAGAAAAAACCTGATATCAGCTAGACCCATTTGGTTAAAGAAAGTATCATAATACTGTGATAGATTCCTAAATGGAAGTAAATATTTAATATAATCATAAAATGTTTAACACAATCACACTTACTTGATACAATTACAAACAATTTTACATCTACAGTGACAAATATAATTATACATTTAATACGAGTATAAATGCAATTATGAAAAAGGGAAAAGGAAGGAGGGGATGTGATGGTTAAACTTGTGTTTAATGAACCTGTGTGCCAGTTTGACTGGACCATGATCCTCTGGGGTTTGGCAGATATGAGCTAATCATCCACCATGTTGAGCTCTCTTGTGAGCTGCCAGCCCCTGAAGAGGGCACTTCCTCAAGGCGTGCTCTGCTTTACATAGCTTTGGGTGGCCTAGCAAATTTTGAAGACTTTTTTCTCACTCTGGATCCTGCGTCTAGTTCTCTGGTTCCTGGGACTTGAGGAAGTAGCCTGGTGTGTTAGCTACTGTTTGCCTGTGCAATCTGTGAGCCAGCAGCCTGTCGTCCTGTCCTTCCTGTCAGTCTTGAATATATCAGGCTCCAAAGTCCATGAGCCAGTAGCCTACTTAATCTGACCTAAAAATCTTGAAGTCATTAGCATTTGTGGTTACAAGAGTCAGGAGAAACTCTGGTCTGATGTCCGACCCATGGTCTTGGAACATGCCAAACTGTCCAACCATAATAACTATTACATATATGCACCTATGTGCATGTGCGCGCGCACGCGCGCGCACACACACACACACATTTGTAAGCATCGCTGATTTTACTTCTCTACAGAAAGTAAGGCTCACAATTTATATCATGCTGAGTAAAATAGCTCAATCACAAGAGCACAAATATATGACCCACTTCCATGAAATAGAGGGATATATAGATAACAGCATTTGTTAGTGGTTACCAGGGGTAAAAGGCAAGGAGAAACGGAGTCATTGTCTGCGGTGCACTGAGTTTCTGGTTACGAATTGGGCTGCAGCCGTTCAAAACTACCAGTCACTCCTTGGGAGAAAGATGGGGCTTTTCTATGCCCATAAACGCTCACAATCTCAGAAATCCACAAGGGCTGGCTTATCCTGTCCTGTAGAATGACTATGAATCAGCATCAACTCTGTGGCAGTGAGTTTTAGTTTTTTGAGTGAGTTTCTGTGTTAGGCTGGGTTGGCTAGAGAAACAAATCCAGTAATACTCCTATGTGTGTAAGAGAGAGCTTTATATCAAAAAGCAATTGTATCTTGAGAAAACATCCCAGCCCAGTCCAGATCAAGTCCATAAATCTGATATTAGCCCATATGTCCAATACTGGTCCATAAATTCCTCTTCAGGCTCAGCAGCACAGGCTCTGGTTGCCGACAGCATTGCTCCATGTGCCTCGCCAACTGGAAGGTTAAGCAGAGAGTGGGTGGCCAGCCTCTCAGGAGAAGGAGAGGAAGTTCCCAGAATCCTCATGAGAAGGCCACACCCATAAGGAAGCATCCTGAGGCTGTGATCTGATTGACAGGCTAGACTCCACCCCTTCATTCTTCTCCCCCCCCCACCACTCTTAATATCCTCAAGTTGACACGAGATTATGTAACTACCACAATTTCTCTGGTGGAAGATTTTGGGAAAGGATAGTGGCAACGATAGCCCCGCATAACAAACCTAATCAATGTCACTGAATTGGACCTGAAAATTATTGAATTCACAAATGTATGTATGTATATATATGTGTGTGTGTGTGTATCAATTTATATTTTGTAATTTTCTAATTTGTGAATATGTATATTTGCCACAATTAAAACAGTCAAGGAAACAGGAATTCCCCACAGGAGAGAGGGGGGCACAATCGCTATTGAGATAAATGTCTAGGACCACAAAGTAGAGTACATGTTGGGCACAAATGTGTGTCTTCTCTTTCCTTCCCTAGTGTAAACACAGCTGCCTGCCTGAAGAGGAACCGCTCGTCAAGCATGCCATCCAGAAACCCCCTCTTTCTAGCTCAAAGGGATCTTCTCAAGGCCAACCCTTCAGAATGGCTCCAGTGTGTACCCCTGAAGTCCTTTGAAAGTCTGTCACCTCTCAAAGACACCAAAAATAGGAAAAAATATTCTGGCGTCTGGGCCATCAAGACTGACTACCAGAAGCCCTCCAATAATAAGTGGGAGACCAGATCCACAAGTGGTGAGATGGATGCAAATATCACAAAAGCTCAAAGTCTTCAAGCTAAAGAGTCCAGCCCGAAGAGCTTGGCCCATGTAGCCACTTATCTGACTGAACACAAGAAGGACCAGCCACCAAATAAGAACAATGGACAACCCACTTTCCATTTGAAGTACCGAAGGAGCAATTAACTTAGCTTGTGCTGCTCTTAAAACTGTGGATGAAAGCCAACCTTGGCTTGCCAATCAAGCCCAGGAGAGCCCTCCCCTTTGTCCTCCCCGGCCATCCGCCCACCCCACCCAAGCATAGGCATATACTTAACTACAAATTTTAATGATCCCATCATCTTTAGTGAGAACAGCTTCCAGCGATTTGCAGAGCAACCCAGGAAAAATACAGACCATTCAAAATCACGTAGGTATTGTATTTTTGTCAACATAGAAAGAGAAAAAGAAAAAAATCTCTTGAGCTTTTTGATTTCTTACGAAACGACTTACCCAGACAGCATCCAATAACCACGATCCCAGGAGAGGGACCAATGAGAATTCAAAACCTGTGCTGAACCTGCCAACCTGCAACATTAGCTTCCTACCAAGTCCCTCCGGTGGGGCTCCTTTTGTAGAGCATGCGTATGGGGGTAGCTGGTTTCAGAGGCTGAGCTGGGATCCATCTGAAAGGGGTTAAGTGGACCCGGGTACTTAATAAAGGCTGTAAGGGGAAAGAAGTTAGTTCATTGCACCTTGGACTCTCTGTTCACCATCTCAAGAGAAGTTCCTGAGAAGTCACAAAGTGTTTAGTTACATGTGAGATTTTAAAAGCCAGATTACATCGTTAATTAGAGAGGGGACCTGGTGGTGCTGTCAGGTAAGCGGTTCAAACCCTCTCGCGGCTCCTAGGGGAAAAAATGAGGCTGTCTGCTCCAGTAACTGTTTAGAACAGCGGTTCTCAACCTGTGGGTCTCAACCCCTTTGGGGGTCGAATGACCTTTTCATGGGGTTGCTTAAGGCCATCAGAAAACACATATTTCTGAGGGTCTTGGGAACCAAGAGACCACTCCTCTATCCATCTCCAGGCAGGTCCACCCACATGCAGATATGCCCACCTACAAGTACCCGGTGTGAAGACTGTTACCCAAGTTACACCATGCTTCAAGATGAAATTTCATTTATTTGTCATTAGAAATAAATATCTCACAATATATAATGACATTGTGTTTTTTATGAATCACTATGCTTTAATTGTGTTCAATTTGTAACAGTGAAAATACATCCTGCATATCAGATATTTACATAACAGTAGCAAAACGACAGTTATGCAGTAGCAATGAAAATAATTTTATGTTTGGGGGGGTCACCGCATTTGGAAGGTTGAGAACCACTGGTTTAGAACCTCTAAACAGGAAATCCTGAACTAACTGGCAGTGGCAATGGCAGTGGCAGTGAGCTTGGCCAGGATCACTATTCAGCTGCCATCTCTCTCAGTCTGTCTCGCTGTGCTTCCTGGGGGTGCACGATCACCGTTGGCCCATCCCGTTTCTTTACTTGATGTTCACAGTTGCTCCCAGATGCTCAGTGTACAAGGAATCACAGACCATCCAGTGTCTTAGTCATCATACGCTGTTGGGAAAAAAACGCCCTTTCTGTTCTCAGGCTCAAAACCCATCCAGCGTTGGCTCATCATCTCCAAGGAGGGAGCCATGAGCATCGATCTGGAACAGTGCCTGTTGGTGCTTTTTGGCCACCATCTGGGAAATGTGTAGGTACAGATGTACTGTAGACGCCCCCTCTCACCATTTCCTTGTTGCACTATGGCTGTCATTCATTGTGCTCTCGGATCATCCTGTGTAAGGCGCTCCCGTCATGGGAATGGATCTTCTCGATCCAGGAAGAACAGAGGAAGGGCCACGCAGTCCTTTACTTGGCCTGCCTCCTTTCCTGTGACCACATCACTATTTCCTGGCGTTGCAACAAGTCTTGTGTTTTACGTTTCCCCCAGAAACACTGCTCCACACCATGAGCTCTGTGTCTGAATGCTACCCCCAAGCTGCTGCCTGAGGCATGATGTCCAAGGACCCCGATGCACCCTGCAGAGATGGTCCGTCAGCTACCAGAACACCCTCAGGTTGCACTGTTGTCTCCGGAAGAATGCTGGTTACTTATCACTATAAACGTTGCACTTAACCGTTTATATCTGCCTGGTTGCAACCTGTTCACCATAGATGAAGGCTCCCTAGTGGCACCAGGACTAGAGACCTAGCTTGCTAACCCAAAGGTGGGTGGTTCAAAGCCACCAGCTGTTCTGCAGAAGAATGATCCTTCTGTCGAGATTTGCAGCCTTGGAAAACTCTCAGGTCAGGGGCAGTTCTCCTGTGTCCTACAGGGTCTCTCTGAGTTGAAATGGACTTGTCAGCAGTGCCTGTGGTTACTCATAAAGGGCCAGCAGAATAAAATGGGCCAAATCCCAGACTAAGGGAGATGTGCATCCGGTGGGAGGAGGAAGAAACCTCCCCCACTGCATGACAGTTTGCCCTACTCCGGCAAACCACCAATGTAAGTCTCACGGGAAGGCCTGAAGCTCAGATAGCATATGTACTTCTAGGAAGCCTGTCTGTGTGCGGCTGGGTTGACCAGAGAAACAAGTCCAGCGACACTCAAGTGTATAAGAAGGAGCTTTATATCAACAGTAGTCTTACATCCAAAGAAGGCATCTCAGCCCGGTCCAGCTCAAGGCCCAAGTCCAATGCAAG